TTAGCAACAACGTACTGTGGGAAAGAACAAACCACATCCCAGCGGAGGAAGAAATTAGGAAAAAGCACTGGAAGTGGATAGGACACACGTTAAGGAAAGCATCCAAATGCGTCACAAGACAAGCCCTCAAATGGAATCCTCAAGGCCATTGGGGGTGAAGAAGACTACTAAAGAACACGTTACTCCGGGAAATGGAAATAGACATGATAAAAATGAATGAGAATTGGATGGAATTAGAAAGGAATGCCCAGGACAGAGTGGGTTGTAGAATGCTGTTCGGTGACCTATGCTCCACTGGGAGTAACAGGCGTAAGTAAGTAAGTAAGTAAGTAAGTAAGTAAATAAAGTATCGTAAATCTATCCCTAATGTAGAAGAAAATTTTACAACATTGATTGTAAAAAGAGTTTAAAGGACTAGAGACAAGTGATTACATAATGAGTAAAGGCTAGTAAGAATAAGTAAAGTTCAGTTCATAAAATAACTTTACTAGTCTGATAGATAGTCGGAATAAAAAGACGTAATAATGTGATTAAATAAGAGTTGAAAAAAGTTTTTAAGATGCAATGAAGGAATACCCGCGAGACTATAATTAATGCACGAACCAATCACATTTAAGATAGTAAATCTTGGATGTCGATGCGGAATTCATTCATTCATTTGGTTAAATACCATTTTGGCATTATATCTGATATCAGTTCATGATGAAAACATTAAATCTAATTCCTCACCCTAACATTCAGCTGTAAATTTTAATACTAATTCCTTCATACTATTCTATAAGCCTCATTTAACCCTGGTAAGAAGGTGAACATCCCAAGGTCATTCTAGTGTTGCTCAAGAGTCGTCTATAAATTATAGTATTACCGGAATATTTATCATCAAGACAAGGATAGATTAACAACCATCTCCTTTTGAACATATAAATCAGGTTTTTGACGCCTGATAGTAACGGTTTCAGCAAACTTCAGAAGACTGGAGTTTGACTGCTTATTAATCACTTTGAAAGATTTGCAAGGTATTGGTCCGATGTCCTGTATTCATGAGATGTTTGGTTACTACAAGGAGTGTAAAATCATTTCATTTAACGCTGGCTTTCAATCATTGTAGAGATGTTTCAGTATAAACGTAGTGTTCAGTTAGTGTACAATCAACCTTAATAATGATTGCCTGTTTTTGTTCATAGTAAAACCTTTGCTGAAATTTTGTTCCTCTAAATGGTTGTTTTAATTGTGAGTCCTTTCTTATCTTTCGAGAAACCATTGTTGACACAAGTCTGAGAAAGAAGTGAGGTATTTGGATTTCTCTACAATTATCTAATAGCTTATTTGTCAAATCTAAATAGGATGTGATGTTGTTAAAAATTGTTCTACTATAGTTTACAGTTTTTGTTTGACAGTCTTTACTTTGATTGGTAATTTAGATTTATTTCAATTTGCTTATTAATTACTTACTGAACTGGGTACTATGCTTCTAGAAATTCTCTGATCTTCTTTATGTCACCCCCCTATACAAGATTTCAGCCTTTTCACAATTGTCAACACATATTGGTATAATCGATGAATTGGTGTTAAGTTTACCAGCTAGTTGTTTCATTTTTATTAGTCAAAAATGAATGGATTTCACTGCTTCTCATCAAAGATTGACAGAACTAGCTGTTGGACATCTGCTGAAAAGTAATAATGTTGTCTAGGAAGATATTAAACATTTCATGATAATATCACTCAGCTCAAAGAATCTAATTCCACTAAGACAATTCTCATGAGCTATCAACTATTTTCGTCATCTCAACAGTAAGGCCTGTTTGACAAGATATAATACATATTTCATATGTCTATCCCATTAATGAATTTCATTATCAATCAATTTTATCTGGAGATTTACTTAGATATGTCAGTCATTTTACATACTATACAAACAACAATTAACTGAACAGTTTTTTCTAGGTTGAAATGTGACTGGAAGTCGTTAGTACTTCTTCAAAAGTGATATGGAGAGTGGAGAGTGCTTGTGGGAGATCTATGCTCCTCTATGAGGGGTAACAGGAGTAAGTAAGTAAGTAGGTAAGTGAGATATGAAAAGTATCATTTTACATTATTCTGTTGATTTCACATCTCATTTGAACAACACCATTACAATCAGTTCTTGATCAAATCTACAGTTGATACTTTCGAGTTGAATGCCTTCTACATATCAGCGTATATTGATATTATGCAAACTTTTAGGTAGTTTTACATCTAATCAATTGAGTTTTTCATCGTCAACTTTAGAACTTAATGGTATTTGACTATTAAAAAGTACATCGATTGGCATACGATTTGAATATAGGGATACATCCCATTGCAAAAATTATATAAATAGAGGACACCTAAAATTTATCTAATATGAAAAGATTCTAAACTTCAGTTGTTAAGCTTATAACCTGTATATTTGAGATCTGCAAGAAATCATCTTAATTTCTGAAGCCTTATACAAAACTGCTACAAGTCCAAACACTTCCAA